ACAGAGTTGAGACCAGCCTGGGCAACAGAGTGAGACCTTGTCTCTACTAAAAAAACCAAAGACACAGACACACGCACACACAGTCAGGTGTGGTGGTATGTGCCTGCCTGTAGTCCCAGGTACTTTAGGAGGCTGCGGTGGGAGGATCACTGGAACCCACCACGTTGAGGCTGCAATGAGCCGTGTTCACACCATTGTGCTTAATCTTGGGCAACAGAGCAAGACCCTGTCTCAAAAAAAAAAAAAGAGAAATGAATGTATTTGATGGGGTTAGCATAACATAATGAATTATAGTAAGTCTCTAATACTTCATTCTATTAACAGTGTTTTTATCTGAAATATTGCTCATTCGGGAGTCTCATCAGAACCCTAAAACCATTATATAATAGACAATTAGGTTATCCTACAAGTTATCAACCATTAGATAATGAACAAAACAGCTATCTTAGCCATATTCTAGAAGAATCTTTTTATCCCACTTAAACAGTATTAATTTTCCTTGTTTTTTAAACACATACCAGCTCTCTTCTCTGAGCTATGTATTTAACTTTGTGGCACAGGATCCTTAACCCAAATGTTTTCACTGAATTTTCCACGTTGGCATACCTTTTAAGAAAGAGGTCAGTTTGTTTACAAGTCAAGCGCTAAATAAAAAAATAAAAATTAAAAAAAAAAAGAGATCAGTTAAAAGGTGCCCATTAAGAGGACCCATGGAGGAAATTGCTATCTAGTCTTAATTATTAGAATGCAGGATTTGTTATATAGACAGTGAAGCATATAGCCAGTGGTATTTATCCAATGGATGTCAGAATGCTTAGGATCAGATTTTTGACCCACTTTTATCAAATGCGAAAGACCTATGACATGCATGTTATGTATTTCTAGTACTCATAGTTTTATCTTCTCTACCTTCATTTTCCTCTATTCATATCATCAGCCGTTTTTTCATAATCATCTTTTAATGGGAAAAAAGTGATACAAAAATAAGGTTTTAAGAAATTTTAAAAATCAGCTCTTTGATATTTGAAAAAATATATCCTAAGTAGTTAATTGTGGAAGTGACGCAGACCAGTCTCTTTCTTGTTCACATTGTCTTTGCTGTTTTGCCCATCGAAGGTGCTCAATACATGTTGACTGTGCTACATGGAGTTGCTGTAACAATCTAATTTTGATGCTATAGTTATCTCTCAAAGAAAGGTGGGAGTACTGAAGTTACTCTCCTCACGTAAGGAAATGGATTCCTCTTTTTTTTCTGCTGCCCTCACCTGCCTTAAATCTTCCTATTTCCTTGCTACCTCAACCCCACCTGTGCCCTGGATCACATCGGGGTCACCACCTGCGGAAGTCTGACGTGCAGACCCTGACTCAACGACGGTTGAATGAATGCACTCTCATACCAGAGTGTTTCAAGTGGACTAGCGATTGCCGTTGGTTGCTTTTAGAGGGCGAAATACAACCAATCGACCCAGACCCTCTGACCTTTCACACTTTTATCCTGTCAAGATTTTATAAAGAGATTCTAAGTTAATACACTTGTGGATAATTAAGATGGTTAAGAGAATGGTTTTACGACTGGTAAAAGCTTTAGGTTCTGGGGCCCAGAGTAAATGCTGTTATTAACAGTACTTCCCCTTTGATCTTCCCGGGATAGGGCCCCCCAGCACAAAATTAACATGAGTAAACAGAGCAGAGACAGATGAGTGTGGGGGAAGGCCTTTGATCAGTCTCTATCTTTCCTATGCTAATATGAGTGAGGCGGCTGCCTTGAACCTGCCTAAATAAAACTTTACAGCCTTCCAAAAGGTTTGAGACTATAATCTGTAACTTTTCCTAAATATGTTCTGTAATATTTTGCCAACCACCCCAAGTGAATAGCAACACCCACCTGAGTTAAAATATAGTTTGCATCAGTCACAAGCCCCGTAAATCCATTAGCTCTGAGAGTTTCCTATTTTATGAACTTCTAAATGGTGTTGATTTTGCGTAATTTTTACCTTAATTACAGGTTTATCACAAAGGAAATAGAAAGTATTGCAGACCAGGTTTGTATTTTGGCAGCTCTTTAGGGAATAGATTTCTGGCTAGGATTCACAATATTGATGACAAATGATCTATGAAATCTGCATGATAAACAAGGACTATTAAAGATAAGGTTTTTGGCCGGACGCGGTGGCTCAAGCTTGTAATCCCAGCACTTTGGGAGGCCGAGGCGGGTGGATCACGAGGTCAAGAGA